CAGATGGCTCCGACGACCAGGCTGGCCTGGTTTTGCCCTGTTTGTTGAGGGCCCCTGGGAATGGGGCAGTTCATGTCGTGTTTCTCTTCTACAGAGAGACTGGCCAGAGCAAAACTTCAGGCTAGACTCCTGCCTGACCTCAGGGCCTCAGGCAACTCACGATGGGGCAGGGCTCTATGTCCACCAGGGAGGGAAGGCCTGTCTTTGCCTGGGTCTGTTCTAAACCATCACATCCCTGTGTCCTCTCCACTGGCTGTCACTGCTGGTCCTCTAGCGGCCTGGAGGGTCCTCCCCACGGACTGTAACCCCAGCCAGCCTCACTAGCATGGCAGCCAGCAGTTTCTGCGGACTAAATACGGAGGACAGAGAAAGAGCCTCTGAGTGCAGAATATTCCAGGCCACCAAGGGGCTGAGTACCTTTGGAATGTGCCGGAGGGTGGTTCCCATCTTGGGTGACTGGGAAGAGGGAGTTAATACACCCTGACTTGTGTCTCCTCCTGCGCTTCACTCTCAGCCCCACTCCTCCACCTCACGGGGTGTTTTCCTTTCATTACCGCAGTAATTGAACTGAAAGCAGAGGATCGGAGCAAGTTTCTGGATGCGCTTGTTTCCCTCCTGTCCTAAGGGTGAGACGTGGGGGAGGGGTGGGGTGCTGGAGAGTTCCAGGGGGGGCAGGGGGTGGCGGTGCCGCAAAGTTGGCCCTGTTGAAGCGTAAAGAGGGCCCCTCGCTCCCTGCTTTTTCCCTCCTCAAGCCAAGGCTTCTGCTTGCATTTCAGACCCAAGCAGGACTCCTGAGGAGTTTTGGGGCCAACACATTTTTCCCAAGGGTGTCTGTCCCTGGGCTGGTGGCAGTGCCACAATGGGGCATTTTTGAAGGAGCTAATTTCATTAACTCCTGGGACCCCTTCAGCAAGGGCTAGCATTTACCCTGTCCTGACCGCACTGTGGGCTGGGCATCGTGAGTGACATGCAGGCCTCCTGGCACTGCCAGGAAAGGAGGCGACCCTTGTGAGGGGGGCGGACACCTGGAGCCTTGCCACCCTTTGCAGCCTTAGATCAGGCCCTGGGCTAGAGCCCACAGAGGCTTCTACCCAGGCTCTTACATGCATGACTTAGGAGAAAACAAAGCTATTGGCAGCCACACGGCTGATAACTAGAAAATGTCGTCTCTGTGGGCCTTGCCTGAGCGTGAGGCTGTCACTGGTGGTCCATGGCGATGCTCCCCGGCCAGGGCTCTTCCCAGTGCCACACATACCAGCTCTTTCTTGAAGGGCCCCTCAGCAAACGGGCCAGGGGGCCTGATCTCTACCTAGTGCTCGTTTCTCAGCCCAGGCCGCCCCCCCGACACACACGGTGGATGCCCACGCCCAGCCCTGCATCTCCTTGAGCCCTGGGCTGGAGCCGCTGCTGAGGCAAACGGGCCCTATCAAGGCTCTGATGTAGAGGGTCCCCTCATGCCAGCCCAGGGTCCTCCCACTCCCCTACCATCCATAGTGAGCTGGAAGGTGTGGGGGGCAGGTGCCCTTCCCCTGTCAGGGCCTCAGTGGGCTCTGCTGAGAATGGTATAGGGGACCTCAGGGACCCATAGTCCCTCTTTCAGGGTTGGCTAGGGCATATAGGGCTCGTGTTGGGGTGAAGCTTTGGGCTCAGACCCTTTGGGTCTTCAGCAAGATGTGTTGGGTATCTCACCAGGCTGTTGCTGTTTCCTCAACTGAAACGGGGCTGACACCCCTTTGGACAGTGAGTGCTGAGCCTTAGGATGGGGGCAGGGTGTAAGTTTATGACCCAAATCAAAGGTTACAGGCGGGGGCTTTCGGGCAGGGGGCTGGTGTTTGAGGCCTAGCCCTTCCCTGCAGCCTGCTCAGTGATGACACCAGCACCGCTGTGTGTCCTGCCACCAAGACAGGGTGCAGGGTGGGCCAGCCGGCCAGGGGGAGGAGCAGTGTAGGGGAGATGCTCCCCAGGCAAGGGGAAAAGCCTCGTGAGGGCCCCATGGGGCTGAGGCTGGGTCTGCAAGGTGATATGGTGGTGGAGGACCATGAGGCCCTGGGGGTTCTCAAGCAAATGACAGCCTGGACCCAGCCAACGGGGTGCAGTGAGGCCGGTGGGCACCTCAGTGGTTCTGGGGTGGCCCTCCACCCATGGTCACCACCCCTCTCCCCTGTGAGTGGTGATGGCTCCTCAGAAGCAAGCTCACCATGTCAGAGGGAAGGCCTGGACAGTTTATTTGTTAATTCAGAGAGGCATCAGAATTGTTGAAATTTACTTATTTTTTCTTTTCTTTCTTCTCTAGAGTTTGATCTCTGCAGACATGACCTCCTCCTTATTTATATTAACTGGGTTTTATTTAGACTGTAAGTTATGGACATAGTTTTAGATGCAGGGACAGTTGGTTTTTAATGGAATAAAATGTTCATTTTAGTTTTGGTGCCTCAGTCTTGGCTGTATTCATAAGACCAACACTTGTTTTCGTCCTGAGGTTTCTGTGGGTCCAGAGGAGCCTTTTCCTGTGCCCTGGGCAACCTTGAGGCCCAGCAGTAAATAAGCATGGGGGGCGGCCTCCAGGCTCCCGGGAGAGCAGTGGGTGGAGGCCGGGCACCTTAGCACGTGGCCCTCCGCGTGGCTCCTGCACCGATCACTGCCCAGTGATACCATCCAGTACCTGGCTTTGCCCTCCCGCCACTTCTTCCTGTCCACGTGGCCCTGGCAGCAGCTCAAGCCCACCCTCTTGACTGTGTCTCCTGTCCCAGTACCCTCCCCATCCCCACAGGCACACGGCACGCCCAGGCTACTGGGAGAGTTGGGCAGATAGCAAGGGCAAGGTGGCTGAGGGGCCCCAGACGGAGATGGCTTCAGCACATCCTGGTCACAGAAGGTTCAAACTGGACAGAACCTTGGCAACTTGCAAAGTCTTCAGAACAGCAGGAGTTCTCAGTTAGGGGAGCTGTGCGGTCAGCTGGTTCCACTCTCCCAGATGTCCCCAGAGCCCCTGCGAGGGTTGAGAGGATCTGGAGGCAAGGAGGATGCCATTCCTGCCCTTTGGGGAACACAGAGCTATTCACACAGGTGGTTGAGGCCATCTGGCTGCTCTGCCTGGAGTAGGGATGCCAGGGAAGCAAGGTACGCTGGAGCGACACGGCCACCTGGGTGTGGCACCTGGGGCCTTGGGCAGGAGGAAGCAGAGTGGTTTGGGTAGGCTTTAAGCTGGTAAAAAGCCCAGAAACAGTGGCCTGGGACTGAGGAGACAGTTGGGTGGGGCCAGGTTGCAGGGTGGCCCTTGGGAAGGGGTAGTGGGCACAGTGGGGTTGGCTGCATTGGAGGTCAGCTCCTCTTGCCTGACCTCTGGCTGATGGAGTGTGCCCCTGGCCTTCCTGGCATGAGTCAGGCAGCAGCAGCCTGACTCCCCAGGGCCCTTAAGCTGCCCACCTTGACCATTTGCATCATTGGGACGGTACAGCTTCCCTTCGGAATCCTGCTGATTCCTGGAGCCTGAAGGAACTGGAGAGCTCTGGGTTCGTGTGGGATGCAGCCATGGGTCTGTGCTCCTGGCCAAACACCAGCCTGGCTGGCCCCAGCACCTTTGTTCCAGCAGCCCCACCAAGGCCCCAAGATCACACACTCTTGCACTTGAGGGCCGTTCATGAGCCCCGCTGCACAGGCCCGAGGGGGGCTGCCATGGGGGGCTGCTGAGGACCTCGGTGCCATGGGCCCCGTCTCGCTGCAGCTCATCCCATTGCGAGGAGCTCAGGCTACGGGATAGTTCATTCTCTCTTGAAGTCCAACCCCCTGGCTCTGCTGCAACTCCTGGGATTCAGGGTAGTGTTCATTGCAGCCGTCCTGAGCCCAGGTCCTCAGGCTCCTCCCCTTCCTCACCGTGGGGAGCCTGGCCAGGCCTGGGAGACTCCTTGCTACTGGATTTGGCCCAAGCATTTCTGGACAGGGCCCCCAAGGCCAGGTTTGGGGGCAGATGCCAAGCCCTGCTGGCTGGGTTTGGAGCTCCTCCCTACAGGTCCCACCTCCATCCACAGATCTCTTTTGTCCTGGCCTTTGGCAGAAAGTAAAACTGCATTAATTCAGAGTGCCTAGAATGGGGCTGGAAGCAATGAACTCTCAGTGACTGTAACATAGCTCTGGTGTGCCCTGCTCTCCTGTGACCCCTAACACCCAGGTTCCTGGCCTAGGCCAGCACTGGCTCCCGGGCGCCCCACTCATGGGAGGAAGGTGACACAGGGCGCTTCCAGCAGCCTGTGGCACAGAGGTGCTAATGGTCAGCACAAGTCTGGGCTGGCTGCCAGGCCAGCAAGATGAGCACAGGCCCTGCACAGAGCTGCGCTGAGACTAGCAGAAGGGCCAGGACCAAGGGGCTGGAACCCTGCCCAGGCACTCTCTAGGCAACCTGCACAAGTGCCTCCTTCCCATAGCAACATGCTTGTGGCCCGCCGCTAGCTCCGCTGGAGCCCAGCACACATCCTGGATTTGCCCCTGTTCCTGCTGCATTCTTAGCCGGAAGGTCCTAGTCAGTGTTTTACAGATGTCTGGCCATTTGGTGCAATCCACAAACAGGCAAGCCCTGAGAGGGCAGGGGGAAAACACCCAACCTGTGGTGCATGGAGCCAGCCTCTTCTCAAAGCCAGCAGCCTGGCAGCCCACCCTCAACACTTTCTGCATCCAAAGACTCCACACTGGCTAGTGGCTGGGTGATGGGGGGTGGATTTCCAACCCACATCCTCTCCTGGGGTCTGTATTGTCCTCTCCCCAGGCTCTTCTGACTACAGATCTCACCTTCCTGGGTTGCCGCAAACTGTAGCTGTGCTTCCCACCCAGCAGGAAGGTGACTGGGTGGCAGGAAGGGCCAGGGATCAGGCCATGAATCTTCTGGAACACGGGGGGAGCCCTGGGAGGTCTCAGAAAAAGCCTTTCAGGGAGCAGTTGGTGGGCGCATGAATGAAGGGGGCTGCTGGGCACAAGTGGTGACTGGACAGAGCACAGGACACAGGTGGGAGGGTATTCAAAACATTTACTAAGCAAATTCTTACCCTCCCCACAAGCTGTAAAGGAGGGCAGGGCCCCAGGTCCACACTCAGGATCTGGTGCCCATAAGCATCTCCTGGGGAGCTGCTGGGGTGAGGCAGGGAGGTCCAGGCCAAGTCTTTTAGTCGCCCTGGGCTCAGGCCCCACTGATGGGGTAAAGGCCAGCTGTATACATCCCTCTGGCAGCCCAGTTTGGGGCCCCTGTGCTCTCCGTCTGCCCCGCTGAAATCAGCTGGAGCCGCTGGGGAGGATGGCGGCATCCAAGACCCTGAGGGTCCAGGAGGGAATTGGCCGTTTCAGTCCATTGTCCACTCTGCCAAAGGGACCCGCGCCCCGCCCACATTGGAGCAAGCTCTGCGCACAGAAAAAGAAACCCAGCAAGTCCTCCCAAGTGCGTGGCTCCTGCTCAGGGCAGGGCGCGGCCCAGGGCCCGGCTAGTGGCTATTGGAGAGAACGGGCTGCGGGCGCGAGCAGGGTCTCAAAAGTCAGTCGGTGCGCCACGTCCAGGCACAGAGCCGGCCGTTCCGCCGTGCATGCGGGGCTCCCCTAGCCAGTCGTCCGGCTCGTGGGAGTGGCTAGCGCGAGGGGCCCCGCCGAGTCCGGCGCCCTCAGACGTAGTTCTTCTTGTCATAGTCGCCGGTGGCCGTGGGCCGCCGCGACGCGGAGTACTTGACTGGGAAGCTGAAGTCGGGGCGGCCAGCGCAGACCCAGGCGCCGCAGCACACGAGGCCGCCGCCGCACATGAGCAGCGCGGAAGCCGCCCAGCCGATGTACAGCGCCGCGCCCAGCTCATACTTCTGCGACATGGGCACCGTCGGGTCGTAGAACTCGCGGACCACGATGTTGGCGAACCAGCAGAGCGGCACGAGCGCCAGCAGCCCGCAGAGTGCGTAGAGCACGCCGCCCGTGAGGGCCACCCGCGCCTTGGCCGGGCCGGGGGCCACGCAGGTGGTGCACTGAGCGCCCGCCAGGGTCACGAAGAGCGCGACCAGCGCCAACAGCACTGCGCCCACGGTGAGCGCCCGCGCCGCCTGCACCTCGGTGCTCAGCGCCAGCACCGAGTCGTACACCTTGCACTGCATGTGCCCGGTGCTCTGCACCACGCACGACATCCACAGCCCCTTCCATGTGGTCTGCGCCGTCACGATGTTGTGGTCCAGGAAGGCAGTCACCTGCCACATGGGCAACCCGCAGGCCAGGATCAGGCCCACCCAGCCCACCAGGCACAGCACCAGGCCGAGGATCTCCAGCGCCGCCGACCCCATAGCTGGAGGCGAGACCGGCGCCCGACGGCCCCCGGGCCTCCGGGCTGGGCGCGGCGGTGCCTCGATGGAGCTGCTTGGCGCCCTAAACGAGCTCTTGGTGCCTCTGCGCCCGGGCGCTCGGCTCACCGCCTCCAGTCCCCGGTCCCGGCACGTCTGCAGCACAGCCTCCGATCTGCTGGAGCCTGTCGGGGGCTTCCTATTTGAAGGTTCGGGGGCGGACTCTGCCCCACGGGCCCGGCCCCCGGTCCCCGACCAGCCAATCCGCGCGCCGGCCATCGGCCCTTAGCCAATCACAGGCGCCCCCGGCAGCTGGAGTTAGGGAAACCGCTGGCCTGGGGGGGGGGTGCGGAGTAGCGGAGGGCGCCGGGACCGCTCCCCGCCCGGCCGCCGCCCCCGAGCCCTTCACCCGCTGTTGTCCAGAGCTCGTTCCGGACTGACCTGGGGTGGCTGGGCGGGCGCTCCCCGGGCCACCTCACTGTGTCCCAGCCTCTCCATTTCAGGAGCCGCATGACTGCACCAACTTCCCCCGCTACATCACGGAATGAGAGTGAAGGTCTCTACCACCCAGGCCGGCTCCGCTCTTGCCTGGCCAAGGTCTGCAGGAGCCCCCCCACCATCACCGTCGCGCGGAGGTTTGCCTGAGGGACTCTTGGGCCCCTTTTCCTGGGTTAGCCAAGCACAGCTCGGCCTATTACTACAGCAATCTCGCCCTGGAGTCCAATCCCATCCCCGACCCCTTCCCCGCACCCTTACTGCGCGGTTCCCCTCTGAGTCCTGGCATTATGTCTCCCAGAGGCCAAGAGGCCAGCTGTGCGGGTCAGGCTGAAATCTCCAGCCCGCGGTCCTGACCAGCGCCACTGCCCAGCCGATCACCGCCTCGCAGGGGCCTGAGGCCCCAACAGGAAGCAGGTGGAACAGGAGCCTTACCACCACCTCCGGAGACCCTCACTCTGCACCCTGCCGCCGGGACTTCCCAGACCTCTCAACCTCTGCACTGCTGCTCTTCTTCCTGAGATGCTTCCCATCCCCCATCCTTTGAGGCCCAGCTCAGGCGACACCACTTCGGGAAGTCCCCAGTGTTCTTCTCCAGTGAATCAACAAACAGGCTGACCTTCTCAGAGCAGCCCTTGGCCCCAGGCTTGGGGGCCTACTCCAGCCCTCAGAGAGGAGAAACACAAAGGGACACAGAGGTGCTGTGCTCTGCCCTCCCACCAGTGGCAGTGGGACCCCTGGCACCCCAGGCCCCAGGCCACCCTCCGGAAGCCAACTTGGAGTTTCCTGGCCAGAAGGAAGAGCCCCCATCCTCGCTGGAGGCGGGAGGCTCGGGATTTCCGGGCATTCTTCTGCACAATGGCCCAGCCGTTTCTCGAAAGGCCCGCTGGGATGGACATTGGGCCCCCCTGAGACTCAGGTGGGGGCACCAGACCCTGCAGTCCGCAACCCCCTGGGGCACCAGCCCTGTTCTAGCAGCTCCCTCCCCACTCCCCATCAGCCCTTTTGTTTCCAGCAAAGTCTGTACCCTGTCTTGGACTGAGGTGGCTGGGACCCTGGTTCTTTTCTCTGGTCCAAGGTGCTTGGCTCTGCTAGACAGGGCCCTCCACAGAGAAGGCCTGACATCGAGGTCAACCACAGCCTAGGAGTTTTGATAAATCTGTCCCTCCTGGGACCCGATTCCTTCTCCCTCTGCCTATGGCTCTGAGATAAGGCCAACACCCTGTTCATCCAGCATGGGGAGGCACCCAGGGCAAGTTTGCTGGGCCCTGAGTGTGAAGGTGAGGGGAGGGAGGACGTTTCACCCCTTTCCTCACCCTCCAGCCTCCTTGATCCCTGCGCAGGATGGGGCTCTGGGGACCACTGGCTCCTCCCAGCCATCACCTCACTGCTTCCCTCCTGCTGCAAACGCCTTGGCCATTCTCCCTCCACCTTCCTGGACGTCCCCTCCTCTTGTCCACTCCAGGGGGCTCAGCCGTGCCACCCACCCAACCCTCCCAGTCCTGCTCCCTCCTGGCCCGAGTCCGGGGACCTTACCCGAGGTCTCCCACCACGCTCCACACTGCTCTCTTCCCAGGACGACTGCTGTAACCTCCTCAGGCCAGCTGGGCCCCATCCTTGCCCACTGAGGCTGTTCTCCTCAGGGCAGGTAGGCCATTCTGGCAGGCCCCTCTCCTGAGTCACACTGCCTGAAACCTGCATCATGGTTCGCACTGCCTGTGGACAAAGTGCTGACTCCTGGGAGCTGCCCAGGGTGCCGTCTGCCTGCCTGCCTGCCTGCCTGCCTTGGGCCTGGCCAGTCCAGCAGCACACACTCCATGGTCTAACCAGACTTGCCTTTCTCTGGGCCCTCGGGCTGGTCTGGCTCTCACCCATGGCCTCTTTTCCCTGCAGTGTGTCCCTCAGGTGGAGACTGCTCATCTAAGTTGTGCTGCTGAGATCACTTGCTCTTGGATGCCTTTCTGCCCCCGTCCCCCAGCCTTGCTCTCAGAGGCCCAAGTTGGAACTGTCCGTCCACTTCCTGGTTTGCCCTATCACTGCCCAGGAAGGAGCTTCCACACAGGGGCCATCTTCACGCATCTGTCCCCGGCGAGGGGCTTCCTGTGATTCACGGCTGACCTCTGGCCATGCCACCCCTTCTAGCCAGCTTGGAGCTGCAGCCAGCACGAGGTCCTCCCCCTTTGCCTGCCCACCGGCCCCTCTCTCTCCACCACCAAGGGCCTACCCCAGGGTCACCCCCAGGCTGGCACCCCGGGGTGGCCCCCGCAAGCCTCTATCTCTTTGGGGACAGCTTCACAGTATTTTGGGGACTTGATGGAAAGGCCTTAGTCTCCACCTATCACAATCTGATTTCTACCCCAAGATGACTGTGTTGGTTGTGGCCCAGGCCTGCAGTGGAGCCCGAGCCACTGCAGAGAGGCCCAGCCCAGACCTAGGAGGGGCTTGAGGATGTGCCTGCCCTTCCTTCCACTCATGGTGGTCTCCTGACCTCTTGCTTCACACTGAGCACTGTCTCTGGGTGGAGGACACGCCCAGCCAACTCCTGCCCTAGACCATTAATTGCCTTTTCAGGTAGGGCCTTTTCAGGTGTGCCCATGGCCATGGGTTAGGGAGATGGCAAGGTGATGCAGAGTGTTAGAGCCCTCTCTGAGGAGGTGAGAGTTGAGCCAAGATTCAGGAGAGAGGTTCCATGCAAGAGTCCGGAGGTGGGAAGGGGCATGGTGACTGGGGGGCACATGGAGCTCCGTGAGGCTGGGACAAGACAGTGGGCAAGGGCCTGCCAGCTGAGGTCAGAAGGGTCTAGGGCTGGGCAGGGCCATGACTCCCTGATCTCTGGAGAAGGGGCTCCCAGGCCAGCGTGCCAGCCAAGGCCACCTGCTCATCTAGAGCTATTGTTCTGCTTTCCCAGGGGAAGTGTGGCAGGATCTCATTAATTGTGTGAGGGAAAGGCCTGAGTCAGCAGAAAAGCCAAGTTTATCTTGAGCAGCTGCCGACTGACCCTGCGCCAGGGTGATCCAGTGACCTTCCAAGGACAATCTAAATTTAGGCTCCAGATTCCTGGGGATTGGGGTTTGGGAAGCTCCTAGGAGCCAATTTCATTTCAGAGGAAGTGAAAAACCACATTCTTTCTATCTTTTGGCTTTGTTTTCCTCCAGTGCAGCAGATGTTTGTAGACTCCCTGATCACAGAACACCTCCCGGTGCCCTTTCTTGGTGCTCCCAGAGGCAGCATGAATCTTCGCATCACTCGGCCCTGCTCTGGGGGCCTAGGAGGGGGACAGGGGTTTGTGATGATGGGCAGAACACCCTTTGACAAACAGCCAGTGAATTCACAATTCAGACTAGTGAATTGACCTCTCCATGCCTTGGTCTCCCTGTTGGTAACAAAGCCCTCCACATGGGCGCCTGGGTGGCTCAGTTGGTTGAGCGACTGCCTTCGGCTCAGGTCATGATCCTGGAGTCCCGGGATCGAGTCCCACATCGGGCTCCCTGCTCAGTGGGGAGTCTGCTTCTCCCTCTGACCCTCTTCCTTCTCGTGCTCTCTATCTCTCATTCTCTCTCGCTCAAATAAATAAATAAAATCTTAAGGAAAAAAAAAAAAAAGCCGTCCACAATGGAGGCTGCGAATTTGGAGGGAGGCTGTCACCAATCCCAAGCCCTCTGCTGCCATTCTGGAGCACCCTGTGGGATCCTGAGATGTCCTCTCTGGCTCCCTTGACCTTTGCAGCTCATCTGGCTTCAATCCTCAGAACAGGTGCCACTGGCTCTTTGTCCAAATTGGAGGACATTGTGCCTTTAACTTCCCCAGTGGGTAAAGGAGTAAGGGGCAGGGAGCTCTGGTTGACAGAGACCTAGGGTCCTGTACCTGTAGAGCCCTCGTGCCTTCATGGACTGTCCCAGATGGTGGTCTCTGCATAGTCCAGGCCCCCTTTGGGAGCCTGGAGGAGCTTAGCCAATGGCAGTAGTGCCCTCAGGGGCAAAAAGTGGCCCTCCACCCCACTCCCACTCCTCACTCCTCATGTCTGCACTGCTTCCATGGCCTCTTTGTCCACCTTCTCTCCCTAAACCCCTTCCTTCTCATTTATTCTCTGATTATTTCCTTCTCTGCATGCTGCATTTTGCAACAATTTTATATTCTTCCCACCTAAAAATCATAAAGTGATTCTAGAACCTCATTTTTCATTTAGCATCGTATTATAAACATGTCTACACTTTGTTAAAAAACACCCTCATGGGGGCACCTGGGTGGCTCAGTTGGTTAAGCTTTGACTCTTGATCTCAGCTCAGGTCTTGATCTCAGGGTGGTGGGTTCGAACCCCTCATGGGGCTCCACACTGGGCATGGAGCTTACTTGAACAAAACACCCTTATGATTACTGTCTCTAACTGCCTGGAAGATGACCTTGGGGGTTGGACAGAGGCAAGATGGAATCGATCTCTACCCTTCCCAGTGGTGGGGTGTGACTAGGAGAACGTGTTCTGAGGTTCTGTAAAATGGGGGTGTTAAAGGGCTTAACATCAAAGGGTTGTCAAGGAACTTAGCAGACAGGATTCCCTGGATCAAAGTGAATGTGCTGAATTAACATTAACGGTGGTGATACAGTATACAACCATCCCTCAAGACATGCTTGGATAAAAGATGATTTTTCTATTATCAATAATACTGCTACCAAAGAAAGCCTTGGTATTTTGAGTGATTTCCTCAGGAAAAATTCCCGAAGAATTTTAGTTCACACCTAGGAGGTTGTATCACAGAGACCCCTAATCTGAGTAGGCATTTTCATTGCCCGTCACCAGCATTGGGTGTTCAGTTTTAAAAGTGCA